TTAGCCTTCCTTTTTAATTCTATCCAATTATTGTTCATTCTTCTCATGTCTGTCTCCATTTCTCGGTGTAATTTGTTCTATGGTTTTTCTCTTCTCCTTTGAACTTGAGGATTCCGATTGACGCAATTCGGTGATTTCCTCAGTGTGTGTCCTATCCACTTCTAATACTTCTTCCTGATTTCCTCCTCTACTGGGATCTGGTTTGTTCTCTCCTACAGTAGATTGTTTCTGATAGTGCATGGCCAACGGATCCAAAACATTTTGTATAGAAAAGTGTTAATAAACACTTGTATGTTCTGGATGATGGCTTTCGTAGTTCTGCAAGTTTCTGCCCCATACAGTAGAACTGTCTTGACATTTGTGTTGGAAATTCTGATTTGGTGTTTGTTGACATTTGTTTTGAGTTCCAGATGTTCTTCAGTCGTAAACATGCTGCTCTTGCTTTGCAGATCCGCGCCTTCACATCTGCATCAGATTCACCGTGTTCATCAATCATGCTGCCCAAATATGTAAAGGTTTTTACATCCTCCAGATCTTCTCCGTCAACTGTGATTAGATTGGTGCATGCTGTGTTGTATCGGAGAATCTTGCTTTTCCCCTTATGTATGCTGAGACATACTACTGCTGAGACTGCTGCTACACTGGTCGTCTTCTTCTGCATTTGTTGTTGCGTGTGCGATAGAGTATCATCCTTTAAATATGAATAAGATTGAATGAAAACACTTTACACTGATTGTATAGTAGTCAACTTAAGAATTGGATTCAGAAAAGTTTCGGTTATGTGGGATTCAATCGATTTTCACTCTGTCGATCGTAAATACTTTTAATTCACTTTTGAAAGGAGTCTTTAGGGCTAATGGATTAGGTCTTTTGACCAAGGATTTAAACGGATTTGTTTTATACTGTAGTAGGGAAAGTTCTATGAAGGTTAGTTTCTCTATCAACACTACTTTTTACTGTCTCAGCTGATTCGATTGTTGGTAGAAAGTCTAGAAAAGCAATAGTACTATCACATTCCTCATCTCTTAGCAAAATCATTGCTAGATGAATTTCGAAAAACTTGCCCCGTAAATTCAGTACCCCCATACTTAGTTCTCAGTATTGTGTAAGTACCATCTGTGTAGTGACAATAGAATATGTAATCGATTTATTTGTACTAACAATCCAGTATAGTAAGATTTTGTCCTTTTTTATACCCATCTATAGAACTTTTTGTTTTTGCTTACAGATTTTTAAAATGAACTTTTATAGTCATCATACTAATATTGATGAAAGGATCACAAGCTTTAGGATCAATGAAAAATGTTTTGTCAACCTATCAACAGATCAATATTCAAAGGATTGTGAATATCATTTTGAGTTAGATAGAAGTCTCCTTGCAGAAGTCTAGCTGTCTAGGCTTTGAATTTGAATTGAATCAGCTGTTTTATGGTTATTTCATTCGACTGAAAATTTTTTCTAACTCTTAGAGACCTTCAAAAGCTATCTTTTTCATTTCATTCGTAGTATATGGTTCTAATATTTTTCTAATTGATTTGACGTGAGTACGACTTAATACCTTCTAGTAATCATCAGGGTAACGAATAGTTTCTGTTACATTCATTTACAATATCTACAATACTTTTCACTTTTTGTTTGAGATTATGAACCAAATGATGTTAGACCACCACTGAGAACCTGGATGCACTAGATGACCGTTTCGTCCTCTTGTAATACTCCTCAGCGGCGTGCACCGACGATCCCATTCGCGAGATCCCAACCCAGGGTCTTTAGTCTCGCGCGCGGACGCTTAACCTCTAGACCACTGAGCTCGCCGGCATCCAACGGTGTTCATGTCTAACTTCAACCAATCCACGAAATTACGCGACCATCATCCATTGTACTGAGGTGGATACCTGTCTCTACTCGACATGGATTAGCTCCACTGGTCATGGCTTCTCACTAAAACCACGAGAATTCCTTCACTAAGCTAGTCACTAGTGAGTATATGGTTCATGATCTCAGCCAAAAACTTAATAATCTGCACAACCCTATACTGATAATTTTTTCACTTCAATGGGTCATGTGCTTCAATCCAGATGTTTATTATGGATATTTAATGAAGCTCAATTCTTAACAAACTACAATCAATTAAACATTGTATTCAAACTGTTGTATATGAATTATTGAAACTTCATGATTGTTTTTCATCGATAACACCAAATTAAAGTAATATTACTGCTCATTCATTCCTTACCGCGTGAGATCGATAAATTCTGGGTTCGAATCTCGCGAGGCGGGATCTTGAATACGCACTACTGAGAAGTCATATAATAGGACGAAATGGCCGTCGAATGCTTCCAGGTTTTCCATGATGGTGTAGCTTCAATTGGCTCATGATCTCAATCATTGAAAGTATTAATTTCTATATTCGATTGTAAATTTTTCATATTTGTGCACAGGCATAACGATTATCTGATACAAAAGCACTATTTCTTTGCTAAATTTTCATGTTTGTAAAATTATTTATTCATCAGATTATTTCTTTGATAATAAAGTTTACTTTAATAGTTGAATTCACGAGTCAATCTAATGTAGACCACCACTGAAAACCTCAAAACACTGGATGAACATTTCGTCCTACTATGGGACTCCTCGGAAATGCGCATCCACGATCCCACACCAAAAACACTGGAAACCATGACCTCCATTTTCATGCACAAACTCCTAACCTCTTGACGACTAAGCTGGTGTTCAACGGTGTTAATGCTTAACTTCACTCGATCCATTTATCTATGTAATATATTCCTCTACTTCTAGTCCTTATCTAAGGCCCAAACTATCAGAGTCATCTATTTGTAGAAGCACTTTGACATAATATTTCATAATCGAACGGGTAACTGTTATTGAAAAATACCATTAGTAATAAGAAAGTTCTTTATAATTACTTAAACATCATCAATAATGATCGTACATTTTTCTAAAATTTCTTAAATAGAAATAGAATTTATTTGTGTTATAAGTTGTGACCTGTTGCCCTATCAATATATAATGGAAGGATATCGCCAATCAAAGAATAGTGACTCATCAACCGGAACAATGACGCAAAAAACGCGTACGCATAGTCTAGAGTGTTCTTCCTGACTAGCCTTGACTGTTGAGTTCAGAACAACAAAGACATGTGTGACGAACTACAAGCAGTTGTACCTTGGGCACTGAAGTTACGCTCTCACGTCACTAAAAACAACCCAAAACACTATCTCCTTTTCAGATACCTCTAGATCAACCCTCCCACAATGTGGCAAACCAAGAAGTCAGAACTGTCCTCATACATCTAACAACACTCAACATCACTCGATTCATAATCAATACTCCTAGTTTCAAACACTGGATTTATTCACAGAAACCATTCACAATTTACACATCTCATACATAACTATCTCTAATCCTGTCAATCATAATGAATTTATATAATTGATCTCTAGTTTATTATCAAGTCATTTTAACACATTGCATTTCTTCGAAATACCAAATAAATAAACGATATTAAATCATGATAATCACAAGGTTGTCAATCAGTTATCAACGTGGAGCCTAACATAGAAGTAGGTTGACACAAGTTGTCATATCACGTTTGCATTGCATGATAAGATAAAATCAATACTATTTATACATATATTTGTACCAAAAGAACTAAGAGTAATGTAGAAGTAGTAGTGGTAGTGGTACTAGTAATAGTAGTGGTACTTATAATGAGTAGTAGTAGTAGTAGTAGTAGTATTGTGGGGGTAGTACTTAGAATGAGTTAAAAATAGGCAGTAAGAATAGGATAATCTTGTTAGTATAATTAATTCGTAAAGTACTTTTTAAACTTGTACAAAAGTTTATTGAGTACTTTGAAAGCATTTACAGTAAGAAAACAATTTGACAAATAAGTAGGATTTTCATTCGAATTCTCTTGAAAGAACTCTCTTGAAAGAAAAACATAAAGTTTCCTTACTGTTGTGATTTTATTACTGACTAGTTATCATGTGATTTATTCACCAGTCGGAATACCACTTATACAATCGTAACACTGTGTCACATCAATCACATATTGATCGGCATGAGTTACCTAGTGTCCTTATTAGTCACTGTTTCTTGAGTAACCCTGCATGTTCAGTTCAGAACAGTGATCACAGCCTCACAGTGACATGCATTATGTATTTCAAACATACTGAGTTTATCATACAGAAGTGAGATAGACCACATCACACCATGAAATACAAACTAACATTTATACGAGATCAAGTGAAAAGGTGACTGTGAATATGGGAGACTGTAATGAATAGACTGGGTATAACTCAAGAATGGTAAATCGTATCATAATAGTTTATGGATTAAATGAAGCTTATAATAAGGGGAATATGAATATACATAGTTAAGTTACAATAAAAATATATGTTTTGTATTAATCCATAAATAGATTCCTACAGTTACTGTCCAGTATTCTCGTTAGGATATAACAATCTGTTGTAAACGAAAAACTATGAACAACTATTGTTTTCTATTTAATCGGTGAGACTATAATTTATGGACGACCTTTCAACGACTCTAGACTGACCTTGAGAATGTCCACCTGATAACTAGGACCAAATAAGGATTATCAATGAATGCTAGGAATTCGAATTATAATTTATAATTGACAGAGTTTACATCATGAATTGACATTAGCTATAATGCCAAGATTGAATATCGCGCCAAAATCCAACACCTATTCCCTCCATAAATCATAGTCTCACTTATTATAGTCTACTACCAATCTGAGTATATATAGATTCAATCCATTTAATGAAATCCTTCAATATGATTGGATTGAATTGACCTTGATAAACCAATAAAAATCCATAAAAAAATAATCATTTTAACCAATCATAATTGAAATCATCAATGCGTGGGATGATATGAATGAAATAAATTCAAATTCTCTAATATGATTGGTAGATTCAAATTATTTATAATATTGAATTTCGAAAAGACTCATTCATTTAAAAAAAAAAGAGTAAATAAGGAAGTACCGTCGAATGCACATGTACTGGGTTGATTGATCAAAACTGGAATATTTGTACTTTATTTACTTTATTTATTCATTAAATATGTTTATTATATTGAATGTCATTGAATGTGATACATTTTTTTTCATAGAATGATTCATTTAAACATTATGAAATTAGATTAGAATATGGATCGATTAAATCGTCTAAATGGAATACATCAACGAGCATTCTCATTACCACCAGATAATTATCCATATAAAACAGAACCAATTTCAATGAATAATACAAATATACCATTTAATAAATTAAATGATGATCATGTCAATCATGAAAAACATCATGATGATTCATTTATTTCCAATGATGATAAACAAGATCCAACAGATAGTGAATTAATATTACAAGAAACATTTAATAATTTTGATATGATAACACGTCAATTTATGGGATTATCATCTAGTTTAAATAGTTTAAATACAGATGATGATAGTGGTTATGTTCATACATCCTTTGGTAATCATAATCAATTAATTGATTCCATTTATTCTAATACAAATACTACTAATACTACAACATCTGAAGATTCAAGTAGTATAAGTTTGAATAATAATAATAATACTAATAAAGATGAATTATTATTAGTTATGATTGAAGATTTAGTTGATTGGTTTAAACAAATGTATCCAACTATGACTAATGGAATGAATTCAGATAATTTTTTTGATTATTTATCCGATGGTATTCTATTATGTCATCATGCAACTGAATTACATCATCGTTTAACTTTAGAAACGAATCAATCAATTAATCATTCTAAATTTATCCCATTGCATAATATACGTATTAGTGGTATACAAGTTACATTACCTAAATCTAGTCCAATTTATCAAAAATATGAATATCATCATCACCATCATCATGATCATCATCATCATTCATCTAATGCGATCATTAGTTTTATATCACGTAATAATGTATCGAATTTTTTACAATGGTGTCGTCAACTTGGTATGTATAATTCAATTTTATTTGAAAGTGAAGATTTAGTATGTAAAAAAAATCTACGTAATGTTATTGTATGTTTATTAGAATTAGCACGTCTTGGCAATTATATTCATATGTGTATACCAGATATTGTTAAATTAGAAATAGAAATTGATAAACAATTAACTAATGAATTTAATCAATCAATTGATCAATATTCAATCAATTCAAATAATCATCATCATCAAAAAATCAATAGTAGTAATGATGATAAGAATCAATTAACTTATTATCGATCCAGTTGTTCAATAGGATTACGTAAACAACAACAACAACAAGATAAGAACATTTCAATGAATAAAACTAATCAACATACATTACTAGATTGTAATAATAATAATATGAAGAAGGAGAAACAAAAACAGGAATTACAACGTCCAATTGTTGATTTTCGTTCATTAGATGAATTAGTAAGTTGTAAATACATGATAATATATATTCACTTTAAATTCATTCTATTGCACAAACAAGTGGTTATCAGGATCTCAGTAGCTGAGTGGCATTTGAAGCGAATGGTACTGGGTTCGAGTCCCAGAGTGAACATCAACAAGTCTGAGATGCAGGTACATCCGGCTGACGAGTCCCAAACAGGATGAAGTGACGCGCGTCCTGGATTCCACTGTTAGCCACTATTCATCATGTCTGGGACGTTAATTTACCTTAGACGAATATCTACATTAGATTCTCTCCCAGTGTCTATTCTACTGGACTTCAACTCAGATCAAGAACATGTGATTAACCTGACCAGAACGCAAATATATTTCAACACCAAAACCCAACATAATCCAACAACAATGAACAATCAATTATAAGTAATAATAAGGAAAGAAGAATATATAACTCATCTAACACCAGTCAGACTATTTACATGTTTGACTAAGCAGACAGCCAATTATTATCATTTTCGTCCACATATTAGATCCTAACATCTGCCATGCACTATACCCGTCGAAATATATCAACCAGGTTTGTTGTGAGATAGTAACTCACTGAAGACAATGATGGATGTGTCGCTCAATTTCGTCGATTAGTTGAAGTTAGACATTAACACAGTTGGATGATGGCTCAGTGGTCTAGTGGTTAAGTGCTCGCGCGCGAAACCAGTGAGTCTTGGATTCGAATCTCGCAAGGGCGAGGACGTGGATGCGCACTGCTGAGGAGTCCCATACTAGGACGAAGCAGCCGTCCAGTGCTTCCAGGTTTTCCATGTTGTTCTAGCTTCAATTGACTCATGATTTCAATCTGTGAAAATTCTAAAATCTCCACAAACCCCTTCTGATAAAATTATAATACAGAATTTACCTTATTAAATATATAGATATAGTAAACAAAGATGTATAATAGCTAGTAATAGAATATAGAGTGTATGTTTCATCCTATTTATAACTTATCAGATGGATATGTTTGTATTTTAAACTTGAGATTAATCTTGGGACTCGAACTTAGTAATGTTTGCTCTAAATATCATTGTATTATCCATTTAACTATTGAGTCCTGATAACCAGTTACTTGTGAAATACTTACTTACTTACTTACGCCTGTTACTCCTCGTGGAGGAGCATAGGCCACCCACTAGCACTCGCCATCCAACCCTATCCTGGGCAATCCTTTCCAGCTCTTTCCAATTGTTATTCATCCTTTTCACATATCTACTTCTATCTTCCGACGTAATGTGTTCTTTGGCCTTTCAATTTTCCGTTTCCCTCTAGGATTCCAAGTCAGGGCTTGCCTCGTGATGTAGTTTGATGATTTACGTAATGTGTGTCCTATCCATTTCCATCATTTTTTCCTAATTTATTCTTCAGCTGGAAGCTGGCTTACTTGGTATTATTTAATTGGGAAGATTCAAGTAAATAATACCAAGTGAATATAAATATTGGTTCAACAAGGCATTGAATACATATATACCACACTTTATCATTTAATATATGTGAAAGTTTGATCCACAAGGCAGATACAATCGCATAGTAGCTGGCGACTAACAATAGGTTCGTATGTCATTTGTTCCCTCAGGATCCTGGAATGCATGTTCACCATTGATATGGAATCAAGATTTTCCAACTGCCCTACATGAATCTTGCGTACCCACCATTCTGGTTAAAGAGCCGAATATTCACTTTTTGTGTTGTCAGTTTCGTAAACAACAGTAGTGCTGCGAAAAGGCAGTGATTAGGACTTCCCTGACAATGACTGTATACACGTGGATATTATAATAATTTAACAGTTGAGATCATGAGTCAATTGAAGCTAAAACACCATGGAAAACCTGGAATAACTGGACAGCCGTTTCGTTTTATTGTGTGACTCCTCAGCAGTGAAGTGTTCGAATTTCTCCATATGCGTTTCACACCTTGTTCTGTACACCTCGACGTACAGTGTTTCCAAGTTTTCCATGATAGTCTAACTTCAATTAACTCATGAATTCAATTATGAAATTATTGAAGTGATAAAAATTTGTAAAATAATCTATCAACATGGCAACTGTTTCTTTTTCTTATCATCCATCGTAATTTTTGTTGTTGTTGTGGACAATCGATCAACTTCATATATTCTTATTATAGTGAAAAGGAGAAACAATGAGTCATTTCTATTTTCTATGGCCAATGGTACTGTTGTGTTCGTTAAAACATGACAACTGACCTGGACAGTATAGGTAGTAAATACAAATATACTTCTTTGTATTTAAGCAATGTTGTATATTTATATAAAGAAAGATTAGACATACTCATAATATGTTTTAGTAATGTGTTAACCATTATGGTAGTTGTTAATGACGGATAACTTCTGAGAACTGTTAATGGATTCATATTATATATAAATTTTTATTGTGTAATTGTTAAGTAGCTAGACTATCTGTATATTCATATTCCCCTTATTATAAGCTTCATTTTAATCCATAAACTATTATGATACGATTTACCATTCTTGAGTTATGTCCAGTCTATTCATCACAGTCTCCCATATTCACAGTCACCTTTTCACTTGATCTCGTATAAATGTTAGTTTGTATTTCATGGTGTGATGTGGTCTATTTCACTTCTGTATGATAAACTCAGTATGTTTGAAATACATAATGCATGTCACTGTGAGGCTGTGATCACTGTTCTGAACTGAACATGCAGGGTTACTCAAGAAACAGTGACTAATAAGGACACTAGGTAACTCATGCCGATCAATATGTGATTGATGTGACACAGTGTTACGATTGTATAAGTGGTATTCCGATTGATGAATAAATCACATGATAACTAGTCAGTAATAAAATCACAACAGTAAGGAAACTTTATGTTTTTCTTTCAAGAGAGTTCTTTCAAGAGAATTCGAATGAAAATCCTACTTATTTGTCAAATTGTTTTTTACTGTAAATGCTTTCAAAGTACTCAATAAACTTTTGTACAAGTTTAAAAAGTACTTTACGAATTAATTATACTAACAAGATTATCCTATTCTTACTGCCTATTTTTATCTCATTCTAAGTACTACCCCCACCCCCACTACTACTACTACTACTACTACTACTCATTATAAGTACCACTACTATTACTAGTACCACTACCACTACTACTTCTACATTACTCTTAGTTCTTTTGGTACAAATATATGTATAAATAGTATTGATTTTATCTTATCATACAATGCAAACGTGATATGACAACTCGTGTCAACCTACTTCTATGTTAGGCTCCACGTTGATAACTGATTGACAACCTTGTGATTATCATGATTTAATACCGTTTATTTATTTGGTATTTCGAAGAATTGCAATCTGTTAAAATGACTTGATAATAAACTAGAGATCAATTATATAAATTCATTATGATTGACAGGATTAGAGATAGTTATGTATGAGACGTGTAAATTGTGAATGGTTTCTGTGAATAAATCCAGTGTTTGAAACTAGGAGTATTGATTATGAATCGAGTGATGTTGAGTGTTTTTAGATGTATGAGGACAGTTCTGACTTCTTGGTTTGCCACATTGTGGGAGGGTTGATCTAGAGGTATCTGAAAAGGAACTAGTGTTTTGGGTTGTTTTAGTGACGTGAGAGCGTGACTTCAGTGCCCAAGATACAACTGATTGAGGTGGGTCACACACGATCTTGTTGTAAGTTTCTTGTTAGCTCCGCATTTATTGGAACCTTACCCCCGGAGACGGAAATCCGTGAGGGAAGGAGAGATGTGCATTTTTAGAGTCGACCCTTTCTAACAACACCCCTCCTTGTGGGAAGGCAGAATCGCTATGATGGTGGTTGCCTGAAGGAAACACCTTACTGCTGTCACACCTCTGTACAGTCAGCAGTACGACTTCGCCTTCCGACCTAAGGTTTGCTGCTTTTAGTCTTACTGCTCTTCAACAGACCTGTCTGGCATGGTAGAACCATGAGGGACGATTGTTCCAGCCAGTATAGCTCAATTGGTTCATCACGATAGGCAAGTCCGACCACCATGTCAAGGTAGCAGCAACGGTCGGGACAGTGAGCATTTGTGTCAGAATGTTTGTGATGCGTTTCTCTCCTTCTAAATGCAAGTTTTTGCTTCGGGACTGGCCTGTGTCAATACCTGAACTAAGGATAGGCAGTGAAGTAGTCGAACGCTTATCTTAAAAGTCTGATCAACCGTAATGAGTTGGCTTCTGACAAAATCTCTGCACGGATTCAGAAAACTCGTTTGGCTTTTGCTAACTTACGTCAGTTATGGCGAAGTAGAGATATCCATCTATTAATTAAGGGCCGAGTATACTGCGCAGCAGTTCTTTCTGTTTTACTTTAGGCTGCAAAATGTCGCCAGTAAGAGTAGAAGATATTCGTAAGCCACTAGTATTTGACCACAGATGCCTTAGAAATATAGCTTGCATCTGCTGGGATCACCGGATAAGTAATTGTGAGGTTAGACGCAGAGCATTAAGGAACGATGGTAAATCAGTGTATGTGGTTGTAAATCTTCATCAATTAACATGATTGAGCTACGTCTTACTTATGTCTGAACACTGTTTACCACGGCAGGCAATGATGACTAGTGTTGGAGACGGATGGAAGAAAGTCAGAGGCGACCAAACCAAGATTTGGCATCAGTCATTTAGGTCACTAACTTCTAGTTTGAGCCATGTTGCTAGATGCAATCTACTTGGATGGGGTCCACGTGACTGTAGTAACCGATGGTCGGAGACTCTATATGACATGACTCAGAATCGATCACAGTGGTGTCGTTGTATACACTCTTCGTCTGCCCTTAAACCATGAGATTAAAATTACTTTATATCTTTCTTTCTACCAACTAATTCTTTCTTCCTGCATTATGTACTTGTATGCACTCTTTCTTTTATAGATTACCACGATTGAAGTGACTACTTCTATGAATTTGGTGTTCATCTTGTTGTGCTAATGAGGTACGGCAACTTGGACCGAAGGCCT